GGATAGTATTACAGGTAGGCCACACCCCTGGGGAAACTCCCCCTAGACTGACCGGCCGCTTAGGACATAGTCATGTGATCCATCATGAGAAACAACACTCACAAGTGAAGTCCAGCCAAGTTGACAGATCTTCAACTATCACACCCACTGAGATGTTTCAACAAACAGATACCGTGCTGAAGGCACTTACTCATCAATGCCAAGAAATGTAGAAGACAGCTACATGGCCAGCTGACTGGAAGAGATCCATATTTGCACCCATTCCAAAGAAAGATTATCAAACAGAATATGGAAACTGTCAAACAATATCATTAATATCACACGCAAGTAAAATTTTGCTGAAGATAATTCAAAGTGGTTGCAGCAGTATATTGACAGGGAACTTTCAGAGATGCAAGCTAGATTCAGAAGAGGATGTAGAATGAGATGGATATCATTGCTGCTTTCAGATGGATTTTGGCTAAAAGCAGAGAATACCAGAAAGATGTTTACTTGTGTTTTATTGACTATACAAAAGCATTAGACTATGTGGATCACAACAAATTATGGATAACATTGAGAAGAGTGGGAATTCCAGAACACTTAATTGTGCTCATGAGGAACCTGTACAGAGACCAAGAGACTGTCATTTGAAAACAACAAGGAAATACTGCATGGTTTAAAATCAGGAAGGATGTGTGTTAGGGTGTATCCTTTCATTATACGCATTCAGTCTGTTTACTGCAAAAAATCAGAAGCTGGACTATATGAAGAAGAACACGGCCTCATGATTGGAGGAAGACTCGTTAACAACCTGCAATATGCAGATGACACAACCTTGCTTATTGAAAGTAAAGATGACTTGAAGCACTTACTGATGAAGATTAAAGATTAAAGACTGGATTACACCTGCAGTAGTATTATACCTCAACATAAAGAAAACAAAAATCCGCACAACTGGACCAATAAGCAGCATCACGATAAATGGAGAAAGATTGAAGTTGTCAAAGATTTCATACTACTTGGATCCCCAGTCAACACCAATGGAAGCAGCAGTCAAGAAGTCAAACAACATACTGCATTGGGCAGATCTGCTACAAAAGACCTCTTTAAAGTGCTGAAGAGCAAAGATATGTCTTTGAAGACTAAGGTATGCCTAACCCAAGCCATGATATTTTCAAGAGCCTCATATGCATGTGAAAGCTGGACAATGAACAAGGAAGACCAAAGAAGAGTTGATGCTTTTGAGTTGTGGTATTGAAGAAGAATATTGAAAATACCATGGACTGCCATGAAAAAAAAAAAAAAAACTCACTGCCATTGAGTCTATTCCGGCTCATAGGACCCCCTTTGGGTTTCTAAGGTGGTAAATCTTTACAGAAGTAGATGGCACAGTCTGTCTTCTGGGGAGTGGCTGGTGAGTTTGAGCCACCAACCTTCTGGTTAGAAGTCAAACGCCTTAGGCACTATGCCACCAAAGAGCAAATAGATCTGTCTGGAAGAGCTGCAGCCAGAATGCTCCTTGGAAGAGAGAATGGCTAGACTTCGTCGACTTCCTTTGGTCATGTTGTCAGAGGACACCATTCTCTGGAGAAGGGTGTTATGCTTGGTAAGTGGAGGGCCAGTGAAAAAGAAGAAGACCCTCAACAGGATGAATTGACACAGTGGCTGCAACAATGGGTTCACGTACACAAGGATTGTGAGGATGGCACAAAACTGGGCAGTGTTTCTTTCAGTTGTACATAGGGTCACTGAGAGTTGGAGCTGACTTGATGGCACATAACACCAACAACAGCAATACCTTTGGTAGAGAGAGCTAGCGATACATTAATGCTTAGATGGTTTTCATCATTTTAATTACATAATACTAGTACAGGTCATTGTCCTATATAATTTGGGCGGCAGATTATGCATTTTGTTTAAAAGGACCTAGAATGGCCAAAAAGAACAAAGTTGAAAGACATAAACTACCTGATTTCAAGACTTATAAGGTTACAGTGATCATGACAGTGGGGTTATTGGTGTAAAGATAAACTAATAGATCAAAGAAAACAGAATCCAGAAATAGATGTGTGTGTACACACACAGTCAATTGATTTCAACCAAGGTTCTAAATTAATTCAATGTTGTTGTTGTTATGTGCCGTCGAGTCGGCCCCAACTCACAGCGGCCCCTCCTTGGATTTCCAAGGCAGTGTCACTACGGAAGTAGATTGCCCAACCTGCCTTCCAAGGAGTGGTTGGTGGGTTTGAACTGCCAGCCTTCTGGTTAGCAGTCAAGTGCCTTAGGCACTATGCTACCAGAGCTCCTAATTAATTCAATAGGGGAAGGAAATAATTTTACAGGTATTGCTAGACCAAACTGTTCATTCCAAACTCAAGTAAGATATTCTTCTATTCAAGCTCCTGTCTTTGATAGATATCTCAAGAATGTCAACTTTATACCCAGTTAATGGTCCATTATGTCTTATAGATCTGTATTTAGCAAGAAGTGTAGAAAAACTCCACTCCAGGTACTTGTTGAGCATATAATCAGTCACAGACACACGCCACACTGTAGTTCTCAGAATCTCAGCTGGGAGAAATAATATTTAGAGAGGGTAGCTTGAAATATTTATGGTCCATGGATTAATCCACCTAGTCCCTCCCTTCTG